CCCTGATCTACTTAGTCAGAGAAGGTAGTCGACCCAACCTGACAGAAGGATCCTTGTCGGCAATCATGGGTTACTTCGTCCAAGGGGACCTTGTAGACCTGGTATTTGCCTAAGGGGACAAATTTGAATCCACCTTAGCTTGTAGAGAGCTTTGTGCCCTGTCAATCATATCCTATTGATTCATATCTCAAGGATTTGATGCCAATCAGGAACGTATTGGCTCTGGCCATAACCGGTATTTCTTGGTGCCATTTGGCGGCAAAACCACGCGGTTCAGAGGGCTCCGGGTCGTCATAACCGTTTATCCTGCGGTGCAATTTGGCGGCAAACCGCCGGTCAGAGGACGCGTACCACATCCTTACTTGCATGAGACTGTTTGAGAATGGATCCTAGTGATATTTTTGACTAGGCATTTCGCTCTTTGTGAGCAAAAGTAGATTTTAATTTGTCCACCCTGACAAACTGTTGCGGAGGGTGAATGAATTTTGCTTTGAGTGATTGATGGTTTGATTTCAATTTTAAATATCTTGAAAGTTTTGGATTTTGAGTGGCATTTTTGGAGCTTTGGAATTTGAATGGACCCCTCCGGTTGAGATAAACATTCAACACGGTCATCATCGGGATGTACTTGAGGTCATTTCCATTTGATTGAACCTTGTCAACTCTATCAACTTAACGATAGGGGATCGGATTTTCTCGTAGGCTTTGTGCCTTTATTCATGAATTTTCTTTGTTGAAAGCCTTGAAGGTCGAATATGAATATACAAAATAAATATTCTGGTCAACTTTCATGACCGCATATTTATCCGATATCTCGAACCCTATCTACTCCCATTTATCTAATTAGGAGGATCGGGTTTCGTAGGCTTTATGCCTTTTGTTTAGTGAATTCTTTTGATTGTAAGCCTTGAAGGTCTAATATGAATATATTGAAACAAATACACTGGTCGCCACAACCGTGTATTTGTTTGAAGGTTCGAACCCTGTCGACTTCTATTGATCCGTATAGAAGGATCAGGTTCGAACTAGAATTCACTTATCGACCCACGCAACATCCCTAGGCGTCACGTATGTACCAATAACACGCTCGCCTGGGCCCAAGCGGGTTACGATTGAATTTACCCCTTATGTACCTATGTGTATGCAAACTACGGTGCACTTGTGTGGGGGTATTTTAAAATATTTTGTAGTTGTGCAGGTAACAGCCATTTGAGTGCGCACAACTTTTCATTTAAGGGCTTGTACACGCCTTTTGTCCGCTAGCACGAGTATTGCGGATCCGGTGGCGTTACGTTGTAAATTGTAAATGCCTTCTGTCTGCTTGTATTAGTGTTGCAGAACCGGTGGCGTTGCGTCTTAGTGTTGATTCCCCTTTTCTCATTCACCGGGGAGGGTCTTTCTGAACTTTGGAGTCAATGACTGCTGATTTGGGGAGAGCTCTTTGTCAGATCATCAGTGTAATGGATTTGTTGTTTCCGGTATTTGTGGGCACCCGAACTGTTCCCTTCTTAATCATAGAACTAAAAAGAGACTTTGGAACGCCAGGAAGTTTGGTTCTAATTTGCTCAAACATTTCCTTTTCGATTCTGTCAGGGAGTACCTTTTTGTACATCAAGCCATCCTTGTACCCGAAACACCTGAAGATCTTGACCACCAACGTCGTAGGTGATATTCGTACTTGTGTCCACAGTGATTTATTGTACTTTCAATACACTGTTGTTATCCACAAATATCCATTTACAGGGGACCGCTGTATTCAATACGACCTCCTAAAAATATTTTGTAGAAGACCCATTGCTTTTACACCATATCCACCCTTTCACCAATCTCGGGTGGTTTGATGTCTGGATTTGTTTATAGAGAACGGGTCTTTGACTATCTATTAGTAGTGTTGCCTTCCCAATCAACAAGCATTGTTGCTAGTGTTGGAGGTTCCAATAGTGCATGTAGGGGGGACGCCCATGCATTTTATTCTTGCAGGTACAATGCACCTGATCTCGTAGAGACTGTTGTAAGAGTCCACTACATTCTTTATTTGCATGCATTGAGGTCTTGTAGTTTGAGTTTCTTTGTGTGTGACCAAAGTTTTGTACTCTATATGTGTCTGAGTCCAAGTTCAGTTTCATTCAGACTTGAGTTCAAACTCAGTGTGAGTCTTTTACATTCATTCAAGTCTTCTACTGTCATGTTAAGTTCATCCAGATTTGAATCTAGTGCTCGCAAATGTTAATTTCACTTGGTGTGGTAAAATTCAAGCTCAAATGCATTAAGTTCTTGTTGTCCACATCTTGCTCCAAATTGAGTTCAAAGTATAAGTTCAAGTGATTGTCCAGGGTCCTCTGAAATTTTTGCAGGTACAATTTCATGTTCAAATTGATTTGAATTCATCCCCAATTTGATTTTATGTTTATTTAGATTTGAACCTTTAGAAATCATTTAGAATTTGTTAAGGTTTAGGTTCACAAGTCCACTGTTCATCGTACAGGTCCTCTGCTCATTTTAGTTCAAAATTGTTGCCTAAGAAGGTCTTCAAATTGTTCAAGTCTTTGTACATTTCAGTAAAAATTTCGGCAGCACCCCGGCATATCCCCTGTTTGGGGGAAAGTAGGGGAGCTGGGCCTTCCCACCACGCTACTAGAGCGTGTATGGTAGGTGTCCTCAGACAGAGGGGAGGCGACTGTCCGCCTCGTCGTAGGCGTCGGACCGGGGTCCCATCCCACCACGCGCAATAAAGGCGTGTATAGGCGGTTTTCCGGTCCGTCGTACACATCGAGGACAGAAGCCTGAGTTTAGGGGGTTATACCTTCGGGGCCGGCGACCGGCGGTCGAGACGGAAGAAGGCTCGGGTGTTGAGGCAAGGAGGGCGACACAAGCATTATATTTATTTTATTATTATTAATTATAATTAATATTAATTATAGCTAACTATTAATTAATTATAATTTATAATTAATTATTAATTATTTATTAATTATAATTAGTAAATTAATTATGATTATAATTAACTAATGACTAATTATAATTAATCAAGATTAATTATAATTAACCAGATAATTATAATTTATAATTAATAACTAATTATTAATTAATTATAATTAATTAACTAATTATATCTATAATTAAATAATAATTAAAAATAATTAATAATTATTATAAATAATAAAAAAGAAAATCCTTTTTTTTTGATTTGGCCGAGAGAAGTGCTCGGAAGGTAGCCGATTACCTTCACAGACGAGCTTTCGTCGTCGATCTCGATCAAAATGTTGTAGCTTCCGGTCCTATAGGATGGGAATGCCGTCGAAGGAGCTAGGCCGAACAGCCACAAGGAGCCGGAGAAGCGTGCGATCGAGAGAGAGTTACCCTCACAGTGTGCGAAGCTCCCAGTTGCTTCCGATCAGAATGTCAGAATTTCCAATCCGACCGGCAGAGAAAGTCGTTGAAGGAGCAAATTCGAACAGCACCGGAGGAGTTGGAGAAGAGGCGCTAAAGGGATGGAGTTAACTTCACAGCGAGCTGCTCCCGTTGCCGCCTCCGATCAAAATGCCGAACTTCCGATCCGTTAGAAAGGGAATGTCGTCACAGGAGCAAAGTCGGACGGGAGGAAGTCGAACAACAACGACGAAGCCGGAGAAGCAATACGAAAGGGAGAATGTTATCTTCGCAGCCGCGAGCTTCCGTTGTTGTTTCCGTCAAAATGGCGTAACTTCCGGTTCGGCAAGAAGGGAAAGTCGTCTCGGCAACGAAGTCGAACAACCACTGAGGAGTTGGAGAGGGAGAGAGTGAGAGCTTGCAGGAGAGTGAGCAGAGGCTGCGAACTAGAGGCCGAAGGCCTCATTCCTTCTGCAATTTAATGACGCGAAGTCGTGCCGAGAACGTGGGGAGATGCGACTTCGAGCGACAGCGGTCGTGCGACGTGCACTGGTCGTGGGATGGCAGAGTAGGTAAGATTTGAATTTTTTTTTTCTTTTCTTTTGTTTCATTTCAGCGGGTCAACAACTAAATCCAGATTTACAGAATTTAGTAAATCCTACTAAAATTGAATCCAATCCTATACCAAACACCCCCATAGGAAGTAGGATTTAAGAGATTTACCCTAGTTTCGCTGCATTCTTTTCTTTTCCTTCATTTTAATTCTAACTCTTGAAATTATCTGAAAAACAATTTCCTAGAATTTAGTTAGATTAAACATATATCATGCCAAATAGTTTGTAGGATTTATTAATTTTGGATTTAAAATATCTGATAGATCCTATTTGTAACCGAACAGACCCTTATTGTAGACCACCGGATCAAGCTAAAACCCGTTGTAACAAAAGGTTAAGAACATTCCTTTTATTGCTATCTAAACTTTTATTTATTTATTTAATGGTATTGCTATTATGGGTTTTGTTGTAGTACATCCAAAAACTGAAATGCTGAAAGTGTGCTCATTATTATTTTTCTTATATTTTATATGATGCACCGGAGTACCTAATTATTAACTGGTTGAATGGATCATCTTCTTCTTGTTTACATTACAACAATGATTAAAACATGTATGAGAATTTTGACTATTTTACTCAATAGCTGCCCATAAGCCTTTGCACTTTTTTTGGCAATTGAGTGAAATTTCACAAAATTACACTCTGGTCAATTTAGTTAATTAATCTACTGTTGCAATTCCCAATTATTTTGTGTTGATAGGAAGTGCATGAACAGTAACTTTTCTTTAAAAAAAGTTTCCCATATTATGTATTATCTACATGCATTGCTGAACTTGTTATATTGATTTCTGTATGATTATTTCTTCTAGAAAATACTTTGTTGCTCAACTAATGAACTTAGAAGGAAATCATAGCAATTGTTTGAATTTTTCATGGTTAGTATATTTATCATGGTTTTTTCATCCACTGGCATTCAATTAGCATGGCCTCCATACACCAAGTTCTTTGTTATATTGATTGATATATGATCGTTTCTTCTATAAATGGTCACCTGTCATATCTTTTCTTTCAAAAAAGTTTCAGAGCTATTGGATGAATGATTCGTGGCATATATTTCTTCTGGGCTATCAATTGTGCAATCAGACTTGCACAAGTTTTGATTATTGGCATGCTCGTTGGTGCAGGTATAAGTTGGCGTACTCATCAAACTATAGTAGCATTTTGGATCCAATAATTGAGAACAATTACGAGCTTTTCATGGTAGAAAGATTGATCTTGGCTGGTGCAACTACCTTTGTGAAGACATTTAAAGAGGAAGAAGATGACCTCAGTCTTACTGATGATCCCAAAAAGAACACCAAGAAATGGCAGATTCCTGTTCTTATCAAGGAAAATGAAAGAAGGTGAGTTCTGCAACTCCACTTACAATTTGTAGCAGAAAGTTGCCATTTTTGCGGCCATTTTCCCTGTGTAAAAGCCATGGGTCCACATTTTTTTCATTCTGAAGGTTGCAGTCCAAGCAGTAAGCAAAGGAAATTTGCCTGTGAACCAGTGGACGATTTGGTGAGTTATTTCATTAGGGAAAATATTATTTAAATTTTTTTTTTTCCATTTTTTGGAAGTCATATTCTTGTATTATTTTTTATAAGGAAATTTAGATGTAAACAGATGCATGGAAAATAAATATTGAGGTTAAATATATGATGATTGCTTATGGAGAAAATGTAAATAAATGTAACTTCATGTGTTCAAGTAGACTTTTTTTTTTTTTTTTCATTTTGAGGCTTTGGTGGTTATGTAATATAAAAAACTGCAAAAAATATTTATTTGAATAACTGATCTTGTTTGTTTGTTTTTATTTATTTGCATAAAACTTTGACCAAAATTGAACATCCGACCCAGATTTTTTTTCTGAAAATGGTTCATTGTTTGACCTCAACCAACATCATACAAACAATGGGGATTTACATACATATTATATATCAAAGATTCAAAATTTTAATATTACATATATACCATCCTATATTACTTTAATATTAAATATGACACTCATATTTCATTCATATTACTCATATTTGATATGAAAGTGATCTATGTGTTGTATGTATGTATTATTAAAATTTTAAGTATTAGATATATAAATAGGGTGGTATGGATGTAAATCCCCTCCAAACAATGGTTAAGTTGAATTTATATGTGATCCATAAGCTGAGCTGTGAAAGAGTTTTGAATTCTGCAATATGTCTTTGAATTTATCTATTTATAAATAGAGTTAGAATCAAGCTTAAAATTATGATGAGAGTTGTTTATTTAATTATTTACAAATTATGCTCGGATTGTAATTGAACTTTACTTGAGTTTAAATCAATTATATGATAAGATTCTATCTACTATCTTAAAATTTTAAATTCTATATCTAAAATAAATGTTTACATAGTGTTTAGTCAAATTAATATAATTATTCAAAGACAATACATATTATTTTAATTCAAAATATCAGATAATTAATTAAATTGAAAGTTTTTTGGATTAAACTTACACAGTCGAATTGAATCTCAATAAGATAAATTTATAGATGTTAAAAATGATCTGATCTAATTCCAAATGAATTCAATTCAAGCATCTGAATCATTTGAAAACTTCTAAATTTTTCTAACTACTATGAAGAATAATTTATTACTTCTGCACAAAATGTTCTAAAGCTTGAAAGGAAGATATAGAAGGCCATCTAGTATAGTGTTTTATAGAAGCTTTGGAAGGGGCAGGCATGATGTACAGAAGAAAGTGAAAGGGCTCTTAAGAGAAGAATTAGGGAGGGAAAATAGAGCAAGTTTAAGAGAGTATTTATACTTAAGGGGGGAGAGATCTTAGTTATAAAAAGAAAAATAAAAATAAAAAAATTCTAAAAAAGTTTTGACCTGTAACTCAAAAAAAAGGGGAGAAACATACTTGTCTGAAATCGTGAGTTGTACAATCTCTCCGCACGAAGCTAGCTGCACATCATTCGTCTGTCTTCGACATTCCTACCACGACGTTGTCTGCACAATATCGCACGACCTACCTCGTCTTTTGGCCTCTCTGTTCTTCCTCCCCCCGAAATTATTCTGTGTGGGATCTGGTCACAAAGATGTGTTCGGTTGCCAATAAAAACATTACGCGTGTTGTGCTTACGTGGAAAGTTAAGACACGACCCGTTTACTGCAGACTTCGAGACACCCGCCCACCCATCGAATTTAACAGTAAAAAGATGAAAAAGGCGGAAAATTTTTACATTTTCACGTTTCGGCCATTCGCTCCAGTTCTCCCAAGGTTTCTGTTTATGCAAAAATTTCTTCTCAAAAGCATCCAGCAATCTCTTCTGCTCAAATGGAGGAGGGAAAGGATTCACCAGTAAAGAAAAATGTACGTTAATTCTTACATTGACATAAACTGTACTCCGTATTTCTTTGATATTCAATGCGTATTTTCCAAAGAAAAAAAAAAAAAAATCATTCCGAGAACGAGAACGATAAAAGATTATATTTATCTCACCTTTTACGTTCTTTCTTCGTATATTCTTTGTATATTATGTGTATATTCTGCGTATATTTTGCTTATTTTCCATGTATATGTTGAAGACTCAAAACCTAACATTTTGTAATAAATCATTTGGATCTTAAATCATAAAAATAAACTTCCAATAAAGAAAAACAATTAGCGTAAATAATTATTGATTTCTATTGTTATTTTTTGTACTATTTGCGTACCGTATGCGTATGGTTTGCGTATATTATGCGTAAACATTACGTATACTATGCGTATAATATGCTTATGGTTTGCGTATAGATTGCGTTTTATATGCATAATTAATTTTATTTTCTTAATTTACGCAGATTTATGTCCGTCCTATATCGTATCGCTGCTATGTTTTCACGTTTAGAACATTCCGTGATACGTTCTCAGAGATAATTCCTCCAAAAATTGAAGAAAATTTAAGAACCTTAATACCTACCAATTTATTAAATTTCCTGGATTCGAGCAGAACGTCCCATTGATTTACCAGCTCATGACAATGTGGAATATTTAAAAGCAAAGTTTTATTATAGAGGGTCATGTTTTACCTTTCACAGCTGAAGAAGTGACCCTCCTAACTGGTCTTCCTAACAAAGGTGAGGTGATTACATGGCTTACCTTGCCCACTTCAACCATCACTTCCAAGGATATAAAGGTTGAAATGTTTGAGTTGACTAGAGAAAGCGCCCTAGAGACAATGTTGAAAACTTTTATTATGTATTTATGTTCAAATTTATTTTTCAAACAAAGCAACTTCAAAGTCCTAAGGTTGTTAAAAATAATATCAAATAATGTTGATGATTTTTCATCAATCAACTGGACATGGTCGATTTGAGAATTCCTAATAGAAGAATTTAATAATGTTTCTATGAAGATCTCAAACAACAAGCCAGCAGGGTACATCAATGGTTTTGTGCCTATGCTAATTGTGAGTGCTAAAATAATTCTAATTTAACTTTTAATTTGATTGATTGATTTGCTAAAATTTACTTTTATTTTATGCAGGTTTGATTCCTAGAGCACACTTCAATTCATTACCCGAAGTATCCTAAGAGAAGGCCCCGTTTCCTTCGATGGGCTGATGACATAGTATATAATAATGAGAAGACAGCTAAATTATTTATTAATTTAAAGAGAAAACAGGTATATATTGTGAAATATTGCTTACATATTGCATATGGAGTGCGTATGGGGTGTGTATATTTCACGTATGTTTCGCGTATATATTGCATATGTTTCGCGTATGTATGGCATACATATTGCTTACAAATTAAATTTTCACAGATTTTTGTTGACCTCCAAGGAGTTATCCCTGAAGAAGCTAATCTTCTGGGAATCAAGAAATATCCATCAAGACCTCATTCTCCCATTCATTTCAACACATCTGAACATGATCTCCCCCCCAATCTCCCCAGCAACCCGAACCCAAATCTCCCCCCAATCTCCCCCCAATCTCCCCACCAACCCCAATCAACTCTTCTGGAAGAGAAAATAATGAAATTTGTCCAGGATACCTGCAAAAATATCTTCCAAGAACTTGAAGCTAGACTAAGCAAGAATTTTGAGCTAATTGTGAAAAGAGTTGATCTTATTGATAACAGGATCCAAAATTATATTGTTCAACGCAATCTTAATGCTGATCAGCAAGCTGCTCCCTCCTCATCATCATTCATTCCCCATACAATGAAGAATATTCAGATATCATCTGAACACACAAAGACCGACGCCCCAGAGAAAATCAAGGTTGTTGAGATGACCAAGGCTGCTTACCAAGAGATGACCCAGGCTGCTGAAAGGGTTTACAAAAAGCAGAAATTAGACAGAAAATCAATCCCAAAGAAAAACAAGAAGCAGAAAAGGGTACACCACCCCCAAGAAGAACCTGCCCAAGAAGAGCCATCACAGAAAGTTCCATCCCCCAAAGCACCTCCCCTAGTAGAACCATCCCATCAAGTACCATCACCTGCCAAAGAAGAACCTGCCAAAGAACCTCCTCCAGTAGAAGAACCAAATCAAATTGTTGAATCCTTAAAAGAACCTCGCCTAGTAAAACCATCCCAAAAAGAACATCCCCAAGAAGAACTAACACAAATTGTTCCTTCACAAGTAGCAACAGCCCTAATTATTTCATCACCAAAAAAACCTACCCAAAAAGTTCCGCAAACAAAAGAAGTAATCAATGTTGATAATGTTATAGTAAAGGGTTTCCCTGCTAGTCCTACAGTGAACTTCAAAGGCTTGGAGATGTTGAGTCCAGAGAAGGAACTGTTTATTAGGGAGAACATAAAGAAATATCTTGACAGGTATTTTATTTGCGTATTGTGTGCGTATGGATTGCTTAATTTGTGCGTAATGATTGCACAGGAAATGTGTTTTATATGCGTACCTAATGCGTATTTTTTGTTTAATGATTTTAGTAGCATGCCAATATTTGAAGCTGTGAACGTTATAATTTCAAGACGTGGGATTGACGAAATATTATTCGACGGATACCTTGACAATGATCATGTTGATTCCTTTGCCATTTTATTAACTAAGAAGGCTAAATTTTCACCAAAAAAGTATCATAAATATTTATACATCTCACAAATGTATTGGGTTAGTATACTAGTTTATTTTATATATAATTATATATTTCGACTATTTTATTCTTATATCTAATTCTTGCAGCATTACAAGTTGAAGGATGAAAGTTTAAAATTGTTCATCGAATACGTAAACAACAGTTCTGTTCATTTATGCAGCATTATAATTAATTCAATTATTGACGGTTCGCACTGGACCCTTCTAGTTGGTTATTGAAATAAAAAAAAGTAGGAATTTTACGATTATGTACCCAACCCTATGCATAGAAGTGTTGCTATAAAGATTATGAGTTTGATTGTAAGCTTATATTGCTAAAAAATTTTGAAATTATTTTTCAGTGAACTAAATTGTATTCCATATATTATTCAGATTGCAAGCTTATATAGGGATTGCAAAGAAGCTTTTGATGATAATATCAACAAATGGAGTTTCAAGACAATCAAGAAGGCGCCAACTCAGTCTAACAATACAGATTGCAGAATGTTTGTTTGCAAATACATGGAAAACATTATTCGACAAAAAAACTCCAAGTTGAGAGAGAGTAAAGGCTGGCAGGAAAAAATGCCAATGTATAGGGCAGAATTCGCAAACGGATTGTTTTTTGCTTCGTTGAA